TAAAATGTATCCACAAAACCAGGCACAGGTGAAAATTTCTACTTTTACAATGGCACCAGAGGATGTCTTTAAAAAAAAAAAAAAAAAAAAAAAAGGCTTTATTGAAACAATACATAACAAACAAGGCAATATAACATTTTACCAATATGGTGGAGGCATCGGTGGATGTCAGGCAAGTTCACATGAACCCTCAATGGTCTGGAGATTATGCCCATTCAAGGAAATCCTTAAACTCACATAATACTTAATTTTGTTAGAAAAAAAGTCTCATGAGTGAGAGCTTGCGAGATGTGTATAAATTGAGTTGCTTCGGCATAGAAATACTAGAATGTACATACACTTCATTTGTTGAGCTTTAGACCATGTCTAAGATGATAATTCACAATTGTAGATAAGTCAAAAAACAAAGAAAAGCATGCATGAATGTTTTTTTCAACATGGTGCCCGCCAAGGTTTTCTTGCTCCGCTCATGAATGCCGGCTTTTTTTTGTGTGTGTTTTTTGCTTTAGTGCAATGCTAAAATGTCATGCAAGAGGGGAGGGCTCCATGCTAGGTTAAAAGCTCGCACTAGCTAACCACCGCTACCCAGCCTCTTGCAAGCTAATGTGCGGTCTCTGGAAAACAAACTGGATGAGCTAAGAGCCAGGAGTACAACACAGTGATACGACGCATCACTGGCGGGGACGAAGCAACCTACAGGAGGGAGGTGGCTGGTCTAGTGTCATGGTTTAAAGAAAATAATTTCAGCCTCAACATGGACAAGATGAAGGAGATGACAGTAGACATGAGGAAGGAGAGGAGACCTCATCAGCCACTGTTCATCCGGGAGCTTGAAGTAGAGAGGGTGAGCAGCTTTAAATACCTGGGCATCCACATCACTGAGGACCTCACCTGTACACATAACACCACACAGCTGGCCAAGAATGTCCAATAGTGGCTGTACTTCCAGAGGAGGCTGAGGAGGTTTGGCATGTTGCCTAGGATCCTCAGCAACTGCTACAGCTGCATCAACGAGGGCATCCTGACCAGCTGCATCACTGTTTGGTATGGCAGCACAACTGCTATGGACCGCAAGTGCCTGCAGAGCGTGGTAAAGACTGCGGAGAAGATCACCAGGACTCCACTGGCCTCTCTGCAGAGTATCTACCACCACAGAGTCCGCAGGAGAGCTGCCTCCTTCCTCAAGGACCCCACACACCCCCAGCATGGACTGTTCACACCTCTACCATCAGGCCGGAGGTACATAAGTGTGAAATGCAGGACTTCTAGACTGTAACAATTGTTTACACAAACCTGGGCTTTCAGCTGAAGGACAAACAGGTCAGTGGACAATGCAGTGAACATGGCACTGCATTACATCCAGCAACACCTCGACTCCCCATGGACCTAGGCATTGGCCCTCTTTGTGGACTTAAGCTCCGCATTCCACACCATCATCCTAGACATCCTCCACTCCAAACTGACCCAGCTCACTGTGCCTGCCCCCACCTGTCAGTGGAT